GAAATTAATTTGTCTTTTAATTTTGTTTTTATCTTCTGTTGTAACTGCTGCATCATTATATACACTGGTGTGCGAAAATTAAGGACGAGACGGTTTTTCAATATAACTTTGTACAAAAGCTTTCCAAATCAACACATTTAATACCGTAAGATCCCCAATACGTAAGGATACGAGTAATGTAAGCAACACTTACTAAAAGAGAAATCAGAGGGATAAAAAGAAGCTTTATTGAAAAAGTAGCATGGAGCACAATGCGACTGAAGGCCGAAACATTCCTATGATGGGTGTCCAGCAAGAAACATCCGGTCTTTAATAGGGGATATTGTTGGAAAATATAACTTATTGTAAACCTTTTACTGCATCATCTCTCCTCCTTGAAATGTTTATTTAGTTTAGTTCTTATTTTAATGTAATATAGTAGTTACTTCTACTTCTTTTTCTTACTGCCACTGTTTGCGTTGAGAACGGACTGTTTCAACCTAATTGAGGTGCAAAAACGAAAGTGATGTTACGTCATCTGGAAAGCCGATTCGTGCGGATAGCTGATTGGTTGCCGTGAGATGACGTCATGCCTACTTCTGCTATAAGTATTTCGCGTCGCTCTGGCTCATTCCTTCTTCTAGTTCCTGCTTTCCTGGCACTTGAGTGAGCGGTTTCCAGCCCCTTCAGAAGGATGCATGCAGTCCGGTGAATAAAGTTCCTTGGTTCCGGTTCGCTGGATGGCTGTTCCTGAATAAAGTTCCTTGGTGCCTGTCCACGGGATGGTTGTTCCGGAATGGGGTTCCTTGGTTCATGTCCACAAGATGATTGTTCCGGAATAAATTCCTTGGTTCCAGAGGCTACCATGTGAGTGACTGCTGTGGGCGGCGTCCATGTTCTTCAATGAAGGTGGCATTTAAAATATGTGAGCGGCGATTCCTCGTGTTCAACTAATACAAAAGGAGTTAGGCCGGTTTTGAGTGCTTTCAAGAACTTGATTTAAATTTCAGGTGTTTTTCTCAACCATTGATCATGGACTTATTGAATGTGTAGCCAATTTCACGTGAGGCCGCATAATTACTGTTTAGGACATTTTGTTTGTATTGAATGCCAGTGTTTTTGAAGACCAGGTAAAAATATTATTTGATGAATGATGATTATATTATATTTTTCCTAAGACTCTGATATTGTTTAAATTTATTTTCTGTGTTTTTATTCTTTATTATATTGTTAATAAATTGGTTAAGTTCGAAACTTTTTATTGTCTTCAATGTCTGCACAACATGGTATCTCAGGGAGCTTTTATTGCTACTACTGCTAAATGTTTAATTTTATAAACTTTAAACTTTGCTTTAGTATCAGATATGATCTCCCCTGACTGCTAGGCAGGTTTCACAGCGTCTGCCCATGCTGAGATTGAGGGTGTCAATGAGTTGTTGAGGCATTGCTGCCCATTCGTCTTGCAGTGCCAATCGAAGCTCCGGAATCGTTACTGGTAAGGTACGAGCTGCCAAGTGTCTGCCTAGAAAATCCCATGCATGCTCGATGGCATTGAGATCCGGAGATCGTGCCGGCCAATCCATGCGTTCAATATCCTCACTCTCTAAGAGCTGTTCGGCAGCTACTGTGCGATGACATGGCGCATTCTCGTCCACGAAAAGGAACTGCGGAACCATAGCGCCTCTAAAAAGACTCACATATGGAAGAAGAATCTCGTTACAATAACGGGTCCCGTTGACGGAACCTGCGTCGAAGATGTGAAGGTCTGTACGACTACCAAGCATGATGCCTTCCCAAACGAGAACACCTCCACCTCCATACCTGTCCCTTTCAGTGATGTTCGAGGGATGATCGCGGCTTCCCCGCTCTTTCCAGATGAGTATGGGATGAGAATCGCTACTCAGACTGAATCTGCTCTCATCTGTAAAGAGTACTTGTCCCCATTCATTGTCTCTCCAATTCCGGTGTTCCCGGCACCACAGAGAACGCCTTCTCCGATGGGCAGGTGTTAGAGGTACACACCGTACAGGGCATCGTGCAAACAGACCACCACCGTGCAGTCTTCTGGCCACGGTAAAACGCGATATCGGTCGTCCAGTCGTCTGTGTCGTGTGTCTAGCGATTTCTCCTGCTGTCTGCCGCCTGTTTCTTCTGGCCTGTAAGGCAATATACCGGTCATCTGCGGGTGTGGTTCCTCGTAGACGACCACTACTAAACCTCCGGATAACTGTTCCTGTAGTTTGATATTGTCTCCAAAGTCATGAAATGATGCTGTGAGCAATTCCGAACTCTGCAGCCACACTTGTCACACTGGGGCCTTCCTCCAACTTCCCAATGATTCGACTTCGGGTAAAAGCATCCAGATGTCGTCTAACAGATTGATTATTCACCATTTCTCGCTGAGGCAGCAACTCAGTGTGATTTTAACTGCTATACGCCGTGCAATCTCTTTGCCAGAAATACTGATCTTACACCGACAACATGCTTTATACTACTCAGACACTCCCCCATTACGTCTACCTGCATATCTGTGCATGTGCTACCGTACATCACCTTACTTAATCTCCTGATTTGTCTTTCTGTCCACTCTGCGTCTTTGTTCAGCTGATATGCTAATTTTTCGACTTTGTCCTTAATTTTTGCACACCTGTGTATTTCTTTCCATAAGCTAACTATATCAACTAACAGCACCTTTTAAAAGTCTTTGATTTTTATGCTGAATTTGCTCAAAATGTGCTGTTGTTATGATATATAAAATCAGAGTACATTCAAACAACAAGTTAATTTTCAGTAGATGGCATTATCATCTCATCAAAAATTTTAATTTGTCATTTCTTCATACAATAAAAAAATGGCCTTGATATTGTAAACAAGGAATAGTTGGTTATAACAAAGAATAGTTGGCTATAAACAAGGAATAGTTAGAATTGTAAACAAGGTTTATCATAAAAAAATTGCTGACTTTCAATTACATAGCTGCCGTGTAAAAGGAAGAGAATGTCTACAAAATGTTATTTAAAAAAAATCGTTGACTTTTATAGTCTTCAAGCAGACATAGTGACTGGTTATAATATTGACTGAGATACATATCAGGGAATGCAGTAAAGTATGGAAATATATGTCTCTAAGATAATTAGGAACACCTTCAGCACGGGATTTTTTTTGGCTGTATACGCATATGTTTCAAGAATATCGTGGAAGACCTACTGTCTGTCTACGGCAAGAACAGCTTTCGCCACGGTGTCTGGCGGGTGGCACTCACTATAGCAACAGGGCTAGTATATTTCAAGTAGGGACGAACCAAGAGTTGCTTTATTGTTATTTTGTTTTTGGCGACTGTTGGCTGAAGGGAAAATAGTATATCATTCGTCTTCTTGGTTTCATTCCAGCTGTATGCATTTTTTCTTAAGCCTTATATTATTACTATTAGCTATTTTTATTCTCGTGGTTTGTACTGGTATTTGTTCAAATTTGCTTCTATTTAGCTGGATTTTTGTAGTGCCTTGTTAAACACCAATTTTTTTAAATGCCCATCCAGTTTAAGAAAGGTCAACCTTTAAAGTTTCAGGCACGTCAAATCGTGTACAATGTCGCAGAATTTTGTGATTCTGAAGCTTCGCCGAACTCTTTAGTATTTCCTCTTCCTCAACTTTTGAAGAGAACATCGCAAGCTACTGGAGTATCAGAGCAATTAAAACAATTAAGCGTGAAGCATTAACAATGGGTGAAAATAAACTTCTAAATACACCTGGAAAGAAACGTAAAAGCCCTGCTAAACATAAGTGTGAAATTGATGACTTTGAGAAAAGCGTTATACGGCAGACTATTGTCGTTATTGCAAGGCAGGTGGAGTCGTGTCCGCCTTTGAAAAAAATTGCAGAAAAGGCAGGTGGGGAGAGGATGGGTCTTGTAAGATTCATCGAATGGCAGAGGAGAGAGACTATTCAAAATGATGAGAATGCTGATTTGAAAGAGGGGAAGAATGTTATTATTCTGAGATCCTTTTTAGGGTGAATAAGGCATGTAGGTCCGTTCAAGGAAAGAATGTAAACAAAATAACGTTCGCAAAAAGCAACAAAGTGGTCTTTTGTGTGGGAACAGCACCAGTCTATGTACAATGACAAGGCTATCCAAACTATGTACAATGACAAAGTTATTCAAACTATGTACAGTGACCATCATAGGAAATATTTTATTTTTAGTGCACCTAAACGTCGCACCCGCTGAAAATTTAAGTTTTAAACACGTAAACGCTGCGCCGTTTCTTCTGGATATTACAGTAGCTAAAAGGAAGAACTGTAACAATTTTAATTTATTTTACATTTATGAAGTGCGTCTGCACTATATTGCAGAAAATGGGGCAATCAAGTAGATTTCTAAGATGTCATCTATGATTTTGCAAGCAAACAAATAAACAAAAAAGAAGCAAAATAATAGCATGTCTTCAAAATTAAGCACGGATTTTAAAATTTATTTCCCTAAAAGTTATTTTGATATATTTTTACTCATTGTACATCTAGAGGGATGGCAAATTCAGCGACTTGTACCTCACACGGTAAAATCAAAGATCGTTTCTTGACTACAAAAGCTTTATCTATATCATTGAATTTTCATTTTCGGAAATTGGATGTCGGGGTCGACACAAAGGGTCAACAAGCATTTTACTTGTAATTAAAACAAAATGTGAATATCGCCAAATCATCTTTAAATGCGCCAAGGTGGCAAACTGAGAAGTAAATCTTCAAGACACCCCTTCGAAAAATATGGGTCAGGGCTCGTTTCTACGGCAACAGACAGCTGCAGACAAACTGGCGAGAGCTGTTCTTACCATAGACAGACAGTACTGTGCACTTAATCTATTTTTCTTGTCATGTTTAGAAATTAAAACAAATTGAACATAGATGCAAAATAATTTATTTATTTTTCTTAATTCAAGTATTCTATTTTTTAATCAGTAGATATGCAAATAACTAATACTGAGCAATGTTTTATTGTTGTTTATTAATATGACTATTTTACAGGATTGCATCTATCCGATAAAGTACAAGAAGAAGTAAAAAGTATCAAGAACAAAGTCAATGAATTAGCTATACAATTTAACAAGAACCTGGTTGAAAATTCTACTATTTTAGAATTTACAGACGAAGAATTGGATGGTTTACCTTCTGATTTTATTTCAGATTTAGAAAAAAATGTAAGTTTTTGGATACTTCTTATAAAAGGAAGAGAAACATAAACATTTTATAATTTTTTACTTTTATGTATTGCAGTTTGGCTGATAATTTTAAACATACATGAATTAAGACTTAACAGTTTTTAAAATTTTGCACGCACTTCAAATCAATTTTTTTTTTAATGTATGGTGTAGAAATCTTTTATTGATTATGTTAATGGGGGTAAATATTTCTAAAATTTATCAGTTAGGTGTGTAAGAAGTTATATGAATTAAATGTACTGTTAAATAGCTCATTTAGAGATGTTAAGATTAAAATTAAAAAGCTGTAAAAAGTATATATAAATTTTAATTACTCATCTAAAATTGCTCTTTTTTTAGTCCAAAGGGGCAGTTTGCTCTGAAGGACTATTAATTTTGTTTTGACATTTTGCGTCGAAAACTTTAAAAAAGTCTGTGTCACTTTTCAAATCGTTGCCACCATATATTATCGCTCTGTCTTATATTTAAAGAAATGAAATAATGAAGAAGCTCCATGAACGTATGTATGTTTCTCGCATTGTGATAAAACCACGGTACCTAGAGCCATCAAAATTTGAATAACACAATCTTAGTGTTATTCAAATATTCAAATCATAGAATATGAACATTTGGAAGCCCTAATTTGAATTTGAGATTTGTTTTATTATCAATTTCAGATTTTGTAACACTTCAACGAATTTTTGATTAAAAAACTAAACAATTTCAAACTGAGCAATGGAAACACTGTACAAAAAAAAAAAAAAAAAAAAAACATTTTTATCTCCAGCCCGCGAGACTCTGTATTGGAAATTTTAAAAATATGCTCATTTTAAAATTACTTTGCGATATTGCTGTTGTACTGAATTTTATAGTTTGAGTACATAGAACATGATATTTAATAAATAAAGATAACACACAAAATGTTAAAAAAATGCTCCTTTGGATGTAATTTAAAATCTGAAACCGTTCAGATTTTAAAATTTTTTTACCTTTCTCCTTTGAATATGTTGTTACATGTAGCTTTATTGGAAAGATCAATTCAAACATATAAAATAGCTCAAGTATCACACAAGAAAAATGATAAATAATGAAAAAGAACAAACATTTAAAGTAAGAGAACATGGGAACAAAAGTTAAAAATTTAAACAACAAGGAAAGGAACATAAGAGATGTAGCTATGACATTTTGCTAATCCAAAACTTGTAACTATCTTGGTGGTTCAGTTTGGACGTAACAGGCAATGAAAGGCTCAGTTTAAAAACAACAACAAATAAATTAATTTACATGATTACTGAAATAAAGTGTAGTATTAAGTGTGCCATTAATTATTAGGGCCGGCGACTCCCTTACAAACATTCTTACTCGTAGTTAAGCACATCTCATTATTACAAATTCCAAACTTACACTGAAGAAACAGGTGCCCTCTATAGACGTTTCTTAACAGTAGTCTTTACAAGGAGTTCATGAAAGCTCTGGCATGCCAATATAGTTTACTTATCTCACCACGTTTCTGAGACTCTTTTATCTAGTTCTAGGCATATAAGAAGCTCTGCATTCATGATGCCTGAATTGCAAATTTTGCGTATACTAGCTGGAAGGATGCCAATTTTATTAAGATAATTTGCCATGCATTTGTGGCCTGTTTGCAGTCTGAAGTTTGCCACAGCCTCTTTATTTATTTATTTATTTATTTATTTATTTATTTATTATTGTTAATTTTAAAAGATTGATAGTTTTAATGTTATTAATATTTACTGGGAAACAATTTAGAAACATTCTAATGATATTGCTTTTATGGTGTTTCATTGGGTAGATAGCGAGAAAGATGGTTGACTACTATGGAAAAAATTTATATGTAGATTTTAAAGGGGAACTTCATGTAGAGTGTTCCTATCTTTTCTAGAATTATGATAATTTTATCTGTGAAGAATGGAGAGAAAAAATTAGTTGACCATTTCTCTTTATCTTACAGTAATGTATTTATTTCTTGTTTAAAAATAGAGTTAATTTCAAAATCAAAAAATAATAATTGCATTTTGGCTTATTATTTTTCTCGGTACTTTCTGATTATTCACATCTCTCTAAAAAGTATTCATTCACAAAGCAACATGCTAATAGGCAACCCATGGTGCTACCAAAATGTATTTATGTGATAATCCAAATATGTGTAAATCTGTAGTAGACAAGTGCCGGCCAGTGTTTGTTCTGATTGGGTTCAACAAATTTTTATTTCCTTGTAAGGAATCATAATGGATTGCGGACCCCTCCCTTCCCCAGGAAAAAAAAATTGCATTTTTTCAGATATATGACATTTTGCCTAACAGGAGAGAATGAAAAAATTCTCATTTCATATAGTTGCACTTTTTGAAAGATTTAATTTTATGAATCGAAATTTGTAAAATTCTTTAATCTTTTTCTTTAAGCAAAAGCAGATTGCTCTGTACATGGGGAAACAAATTGCTGTGTACTTCGGAAAAACAACAGTGTGTGCAGTGCCAAATTTGTAGAACTATCTCATGTTTTTTTTTAAGCAAAAACAGATCGCTGTGCATTTAGTAAGAACTGCAGTGTGCACAGTGCCAAGTTGCATATTAATGTCATGTTATATGTCAAGTTTTTGCAATTCTGTGGTATTTATGAAGGTAAAACATGTTGCTGTGTACATGGGATAACAGCACACAAAAAAAGGTATATGTTTTATTATGGATGCTTCTTGTATTTTTAATTTTGTTAACTGGTTGCTGTTATATGTAAAGCTTAGTATGCTGCTATTTTTTAAAATGGCTGCTGTCTTTTGCATCTTGGTGAAAAATTAGTCGCCAAAGGTTAGTAACTTTTTGGCAAGGGGTTGTGGATAATCAGAATGCACCTTTTCCTCTTCATTATAAATTAAACTGTCAGAAATTCAGAACTTTTGAGCTGTAATTTTAAGTATTTCCTTGTTTTCCATTGTAATTTTTTAATTATAATGAATTTCAAAAGCATAAGAAAAATTACTTCACTTCTTCTATTCAGATTTTGAGTTTAATAATTTAGCTTAATTTTACTTTAGTATTTTAATTTCTGTGATAATAATTGTATGAATTTGCCTTTTCAGCCCGATACTGGTAAACGGAAAATAACCTTGAAATACCCACATTTCTTCCCAGTTATGCGTAAATGTAAAAATCCAGAAACAAGACGTCAAATGGAGTTTGCTTTTAATACTCAGTAAGTGTGCATTCATAGCTAATTTTTATAACATTTATCATTTTATATATGCATGTCATAATATCTTTCTAAAACTGGCAGTTTCTTTTCAAACCAAACCTTTCTAAATATAGCATAAAGGATAGCACAAAGCTTTTCTAAGTAAAGCATAAAAGACTACAGTTTTTGATTAGTTTATATGTCTTTGGTATGCACAAATAAATATTTCTATATTTTTGTTTTTAGATTAAGTATCTATCATTTATATAAATAGATAACCATTCTTCACAAAAAGTCGCTTTTTAACTGGATCACATGTTTCGCATAGCAAGAGTCAGATTTCAGATAATAAGCTGAAATCAAGATGTATGCTTTTTTTTTTTTTTTTATTTACATTTTATTATTTTGCGTCCATAAAGAAATAATAATACTTTGATGTTAGCTCACACTCACTAATGTATCACAAACAGTGCAATCCAGACTTGCCTTTTCTGAACGCAATGTGAAAAGTCTAGAAGTTGTTCCAGACTTTTCTAGAAAGTGATTTTTTATTTATATATTTATTTATTTGTTAAATCAGTTTAATAGATGAATGGGCTTTTTTTTTTTTTTTTTTTTTTAAATCTCAGTATAAACTTGCATATTTTGTTTGAACACAACTGTACAGTTGTATAGCATCTTTCCCCAGCCTTACTTTTTTTTTTTTTTTTTTTTTTTTTTTTTTTTTTTTTTTGAGAATAACCGTTTTTCCATACAAAATGTTTTGAGATAGTGTATATATTCATCATATACAGTACAAAGTCCAAGATCCAGACATCCATTTTCCAGAATAGTTTAAAATCTGGACCTGAAAGCCACCAACAACTTTTTTATTTTGCTTATTTATTTGTTATTTTTTGTATTCTTTACCGCATGCACATTTGATTCCCCCCTTGCATAATAAAACATGTGGAGAGTCCCGATTCTTAATTTCATTTCGGCACTAAACAAAATACATTATTATTGAAGAAACATCATTTTAGGATAAATTTGTATGATCAATAATTTGGCTCTGTTGCTGGGTATCTGCTTGGCATACATCTCAGACCAAAACCTTCCACATAGAGACATCATTGATCTTACACCTACTGATATTTTATATCCCTGACGCCAACCTGATGAATTATTATTTATTATATTTTGCTTTCATCACCACATGTTTATCAACACATGACAGCTTAGTAATGACTCATGTAATGATGCCTAAACAATTTTTTCATGTTAGTAATTGAATAAAAAAAAGTATGGTAACCTTTTATGTTGATATAGGACTCACAGAGACTGCACAGGCGGTAAGATATCTAGCGCCGGCTCTCAATAAGCCTTGAGTATATGTGAGAATTTATTTATTCAGGACTGAGATAAGCCTTAAGCATGTGCAAGAAAAAACATAAGTATAAAATAACTAATACAATTCAGGCTTAATTGTCTCAGTGCATGATAGAAGCAAGATAACATTTAGTAGAAGAACTTGTTGTTATTTGCCAATCTCACGATACATAGCTAAATATGTATGTTGAATGATAGCTAAATTTTATGATGATAGCCACGAACTTTAAAGATTTTCAGGTATCGCAAACCAAAGGTAAAATTTTCCAATTAATAGATTTTGTAAAGAAATGTGGAGAAGCGGTAATAAATGAAGATGATATAAAAGAAGTTTTTTTTATTTTGATGACAATACTCCTCAATCATCAATTAATGGATGGCAGAAATCTGTAGTAACAGTTCTAGATCCAGAAAACACCACTCCCGATAGTGAAGAAAGTGACAGAGAGGTTGCTGAAAACGAAAAATTTGATTGACAAGTTACTCTCGATACAGCAATTACAGAACTTCAACAATGTAACTGAAAAAGAAATTATGTCTGCCTACAGAATTAAAGAGATTAGATAATTTATAATGAAAAAAATTTTTAATAAAGTAAACAAATAAATATTAAAAATTTTTTTATAAATTTTGATACACTTTAGGTCATAAATGCTTCATTACTTCATAAATCACTATTTCATATTTTTATAATTTCTACATGCCCTCTAACTAGATTTAAACTGATGATCTAATATTTGGAAAAATCCCGAATCCAAAATCGTGGAATTCCTGACGAGTCTGGATCTTGGACTTTGTACTGTATTAATGTTCACAACATTTTGCATTATGTATTTACTAGATTTATTGAGAAATAAAAGGTACAGTCAAAAGTCGTTAATCCGGACTCGTTGGGACTTCGGCGATTCCGGATTATCGATTTTTCCGGATTATAGATCATCAGTTTAAATCTCGTAAGATGGCATGCACAAATTCTAAAATTAAAAATATGAAACTGTATTTTAGGAAATAAAGAACAATTATGATCTAAAGCGTATCAAAATTTACAAAAAAAGAAGCTTAATATTTATTTATTTACTTTATTAAACATTTCTTTCAATGTAAGTTGTTTCGTTTTATGTGATAATACTTTCTCTTTAATTCTATAAACAGACATAATTTCTTGTTCAGTTAAAACGCTCCGCTGTTCAAGTCCCGTAATTGCTGTGCCGAGAATACCGACTAACTTGTCAATCGAAATTTTTTCGTTTTCACTAACCTCTCTGTCACCTTCTTCATGTCTTTATCCATTTTTTGCAGCAATTCCACTTTTTGTTTGATGGACATTGAGACATACTTTCGTTTTGTAGATCCTTTGGGAGCTCCAGAATCAGAAATTGACATAATCGAAAGTTCAAGTTTACTTTTATAAAATTACTTTTACAGTCTGCAAAAAATAATAAGCTGCATCCAATTCGAAGATTAAGGAATAACGCAAGCATCAACATTAACTGAAATAGATAATTGTATAATTTTAGCTTATACCGTCCGTTATACGTTAAACGCACACGCGAAAACGTATTCTGCACTTGCGCACACGCATATGCGCGTGCGCGTAAAGGTCTTATGCGCACGTGTAAACGCCTATGCGCATGTGTCAACGTGGTGCATGCGCAAAAAGTTTTTAGCTTTGAGGTCCGGATTATAGATCATTCCGGATTATGGGTGTCCGAATTAACGACTTTTGACTGTATATGGTGTTTTGCCAAAAAATAGCAAGTATTCCAACTGAGTTCAATTCTCATGCGTTAAAACATGAAAGATCATATATATTATAATGTCAGCATCTGCCGACAAAGTATGAGAATAAGAACTAAGAATTTGTGCAAATTCTTAGTTCACTTTTTTTTAATTCACAAAGTCACTTTTTTTAAATTGTTTTGTCTCAGTGCGAGAGACATACATACATTCATGCAGATTCTTCATTATTTAATTTCTTTAAATATAATACTGTATTATATTTGGTGGTAACAATTTGAAAAGTGATTCGCCATTTCTAGTTTTCAACGCAAAACACCAAAACGAAATTTAGTCCTTCAGGCCAAATTGCCTCCTTGGACTAAAAAGAAAAAACATCATTTGTATTCTAGTAAATATATATTTGGCCTTCAGCATAATGACAGTCCTTGTTTATGAATGTTGTAATATCTTTTCTTTATACTTGTTATAATTTTAGCAGAATTTTTTTTCCCTTTTGAAGAAGAGGGACTTGTGTCTGATTACCCTTGAAAGGAATAAAGTTTTCTTAAAAAACTATGCTAAAATAAGATTGCTGTTTTGCCTCATTTTAAGTAGATAATCTAAATTTTTTAATTATCTGTGTGGAGTGTGGTTTCGGTTAGTCCAGGTATTTGAAGTTTAGTGTACTTCATAAGGTTTATTATTAGAACTTTGGCTAATGAGCACTTAACTTATGGCTAATGTGATATTTGAAGAAGGTAAATTTTTTTAAATTGAAACCCTTAAAAATGCTTGAAGTATTTAAATCTTTAAAATTCATCACATAACAATAATAAGAAGAAAATATTTCTATTTGATATTAAAAGCCTTTAATCAAAGCAAAATTTCTGTTCCACATTGAATAAAAAATATTTAAAAATACTATTCTGAAAAATACATCTACTGTGAATCCTTTTGTGGTGGCCACCTCCCTAGGATGGCTGTATCTAAAAGTGATCAGTATTTCTGTGAACAACTTCTGTATTGAATATATCCATCGAAGGTCAGAACCTCCATGGAAGAACAAAATCATTTGGAATCATTGGTGAGCATCTAAAAGAAGGATTCATTGTGTATTAATTTAAATGTTAATGAAATTTCATAAATAAAGCAAATAATTCTGTTATATCTTGAGGTATCATTGGGATAGCTTGACAAAAATATTTTTTTAAAAAAAGGTTTAATTTTTCACGTTTTGGCAGAATCCTTTTATATTGAAGCAAGTGTAGATGATCATGGATTATTTCAAAAGTGAACTTAAATATGCACTGGATATAGAATATTATTAAGTTCTGTCCAGAAAGTAAAGTTATGGCACTCGGACAGCTGCGAGGTGATATTAGTGAATAGGTTTATTGAAATTGTAACAATCACATTCTTTACATTTAATAGATGCTTCTGTTGGATGTCAATAAAACTAATTGTCCGAAAATTTTGAATTATATTTTGTAATGGTTTTTGCATTAGGATTAGAAAAATTCAAATTGGGAAAAAAGCATGGATTTTTTTTTTTTAGTTGAGTCTTTTTCAGAATTTCTGAAATTTGATAATTCATTTCTTAGTGATATCCATTATTGAAGACTAAAATGGCTATGTGATTTAAATTTTCTTAAATAAAATACATAGTATTTGAATCAGTTAATCTAAAACTTCAAGGAAATAAAAACTTCCTGTAAAGTTAGGCATAGTTTTACAAGTTATGGATAGGAATTTACATTTAAATTAAAGCTTCTTTTGTTTGTATTCACTTTCCAATGATAGAACAAACATATGTGTTAATTAAGAAAACTATTTGAATTGGTTTCAAAATAATGCAACAGGATTCGAAGAAAGTTTTCTTGATGCTGAAGTTGTATTTCAGTTTATACAATCCCTTTTTGGATTTGATTTTGTTA